TATATATATATATATATATATATATATATATATATATATATATATATATATATATATATATATATATATATATATATATATATATATATATATATATATATATATATATATATATATATATATATATATATATATATATATATATATATATATATATATATATATATATATTTCTGACCCACATACCCTCTTCCCTAAAGCCAACCAATAGTGTTTTCAAAAACAAACTAGAAAAGAAAAGCCTGAGTGTCTCTTACAACATATTTACATTGCTTTTTTTGAGGTTTCTTTTACCTGGTTTCTGGAACGGTCCTTCACCAGACTCGAACTCTTGTCTACTGCGTAGCTACCAAGCAAACTAGTCAAGCTGAAAAAAGACATTCATACATTCAGTGGTACCTCTCTGAAGCATTTATTTTAAACACAAGATGCAGACAGATGTACCCGCAAGCACATATTTCTGGGTTCTCAGAAATGTAGCCCTGGGCGCATATTCCCAATGAGCCTGTGTTGCTCATAGTTTAGCAAAGATGTAAACCCCTCAATGCACTTATAAAAATGCAACAGTATAAAAATTGCAAATAAGCCAAAGTTTCCCCCATCTGTTGCCCCATGACAAGGCAACCCTAAATCAAAAACGCATTACACATGCAATATCATTAAAATTACTAACAACAAAACGTAAAAAAGATAACAATTTCATAACAATCTAGAAGTGTCACACCTGATCACAAACTTGATTCACCTTCAGCCATTTCCTAACTTATATTGAAACGTTGAGTATTTTGTTATACCCCTTAACTCCTAATACCTGCAGCACGATGGCTTTTATGAAAGTGTATGAATCTCAAAAGCAGTGGATCGGTTCAGAAATATTGAATGATTGAATAATTTCTGTTGTCTGTATAGAAAATAAAATTATTTTTGAGTTAGTGGTTCATTCCGCTGTGGCGACCTCTGAAGGAAAATGAATGAATAGTTAACTTTAATTAGCCAGTAACTTTTACAAGTTAAATTTATTATATACTCACATATATATATATATATATATATATATATATATATATATAATTAACATGCAGCTATATAGTGGATAGGTCAGTGTTTCCCAACCTCTTCCTATACAAACACACTTGAATGAACTCATCAGATCAGTAAAAGAGACTCCAAAACCTTGAATGGATAAGGGAGACTAAGTACTGTTGTATAGGTATAGGTGATGAACAAGTATAGGTGATGTCTATGTGTGCATGTTCAATTGAGTGTATTTGTGTATTAAGTGTTGTTTTTTTACATTGCCACTTTAGATAACAAATAATATTTGTTCTTTTTCAGGTTCAGACCTGCAGGTTTGCTTATCCAGGAATCTAACATGCTGCACCAAAAAGATGGAGGAGCGTTACCAGGTGGCGGCCCGGCGGGATATTCAGAACCTTCTCCAGATCTCTAGCTCCAGCCTAAAGTTCCTCTTCTCACGAAATGTGGCCGCTTTCCAAGGTTGGTGCGCTGGTTAATCATGCTTGGGTGGTTTATCTACAGCCTTGGTGAAGCTGGTAGTTTGCGGTACTCTTGTTTAGTATGATGTCAGTTTGTCTCCAGACATTAGTTGTACAGTACAGTGTTGTCAGTGTTTATTTTTCTTTAAAACTCAAAATATGTGATTGAGTTCCCTGGTGGCTCTCCAAGGGCTTAATTCAGTTCTTTCCTGTGTTAATTTAGGCTTTTCACATAATAGCCTCACTGATGAGCTCTACACTAGAATTATTGTTTCGCAATACTCATTTTCTGTCTTAAATCTGTTTTACACTAAGAACTAAAAAGTTTGTCTCAGGACAAAAATATCCCCATTGAAGACCATTCTATGGTATATTTGCTTCCTTGTTATTGGCAAGGGTTCAATATGTGTACCTAAAAAAAAAGTGTTATATTTGTAATATTCTTGCAGATTTTTTCAGGTTTGGTTTGTGAAGCAAATAATGGCTTTCTGAATGTTTTTGCTTTTGAATAATGCAGGCAGATTAATAATAATAATAATAATAATAATAATAATAATAATATTAATAATGATTATTATTAATTATTAAACTAAAATAAAATAATAAAATAATAATAATGTGTTTTTGTAGACATCAGATTTTTGAAAATAGATTCTGATATATTTATGTGTGAATGTGGAATTTATTTATTTATTTATTTATTTATTCATTTATTTATTTATAATTTTTTACTATGACACTTCAACATTGCATCAAAATTCTAAAAAAATTGTGCTAAAGTTTTGAACAATTGGCTTATCCAAGTAAAAAAAAAAAAAAAAAAACAGAACTACTTAGCCTTAACTACTAGAAAACTACTTTTTATTTTTATCTTGTGCAACAAAAATAATGATTCATCAAAATAAATGTTGTTTCAGGCCAGTGGCTGTATGTGTTTGGTGGCAGAAAATTCATTATTGTTTTGTAAATTTCTTTTTTTTTCAGCGAAATGCCTTGCATTAAGGATAAAAAATAGTTCCTGTCAAGACGAAATGTCCCAATTGCATTTTATTAAATGCATTATTTGATCCCAAATGCTAACTATTCGTAAGATTTTAAAATGTTGTAATATTTTGGCAGAATTATTTTCCTTTTGTGAGCGTGTGGTGCAAATAATGCCTTTTTTTCTTTTCTGCTTTGGGGCACTGCAGGCCAAGCTAATTACATTTCTGGTTGGTTGGTAATTCAACTTGGTATGGATATCAGAGATTGCTTTGTATGCAGAAAAAACAAAGTATTTGTGTGAAATGTGAATGCTATTTATTAATTCATTCATTCGTTCGTCTTTCCTTCTGTTTGTTCGTCCGTCCGTCCGTCTGTTCATTCGTTCATTCATTCATTTTTTTTTACTGCGACTCTGCACAAGCTAATTAAATTTCTGGTTGGTTAGTAATTCAATTGGTATGGATATCAGTGATTGCTTTGTATGCAGAAAAACATAATATGTGTGTGTGAAATGGGAATGCTATTTATTAATTTGTTCGTTCGTCTGTTCGTTCATTCGTCCGTCCGTTCATTCGTTCGTTCATCCGTCTGTTTGTTCGTTCATTCGTCTGTCTATCCATTCATTCGTTCATTCAATTATTCATTCAACCATTAGTTCATTCATTCATTCATTCATTCATTCATTCATTCAATCATTTGTTCATTCAATCATTCGTTCAATCAATCGTTCATTACATTTATTCGTTCATTTAATCATTTGTTCATTCAATTTTTTGTTCATACAATAATTCGTTCATTCAATCGTTAGTTTATTCAATCATTTGTTCATTCAATCATTCGTCCATTCAATCATTTTTTCATTCAATCCTTAGTTTATTCAATCATTTGTTCATTCAATCATTCGTTCATTCAATCATTTGTTCATTCAATCCTTAGTTTATTCAATCATTTGTTCATTCAATCATTCGTTCATTCAATCTTTCTTTTCATAACGGTGACACTGCATATTCATTCATTCAATCATTCATTCATTTTCTTTTCAGCTTATTCCCTTTATTTATTAGGGGTCGCCACATCGAAGGGAACTTGCAACTTATCCAGCATATGTTTTACGCAGCAGTGCCCTTCCAGCCGCAACACAACACTGGGAAACACCCATGCACACCTTGCATTCACACATATACACTACGACCAATTTAGCTTATTCAGTTCCCCTATAGCACAAGTGTTTGGACTGTTGGGGAAACCGGAGCACCCGGAAGAAACCCAAACCAACATGGGGAAAACATCCAAACTCCACTCAGAAATGCTAACTGACTTAGCTGGGGTCAAACCAGTGACCTTTTTGCTGTGAGGCGACTGTGCTACTCACTGAGCCACCATGATGCCCGTGATGACTTATCCACGTAAAATAAACCCTGCAGTATATTGTCTCCAGACATTTACATTACCGTGTTGTATGTGTACTATATTTTTCTCAGAGACTCACAATATGTGATTTAGTTCCCCAGTGGCTCTCCGAGGGCTTAATTCAGCTGTTAATTTAAGGTTTTCAACGAATGCCTCCCCCGGTGAGCTCTACACCAGAATGCTTGTTTTGTGGCTTTAATGAAACCCTTCGTAGCATCATAATGTCAGCTCACAGGAGCCGACGCACCTTCAGGAGGAGCGTATCCTTCATCTGAGCCAAATGACAAACCCGGAGAAGCTGTAATCTCCCACAAGTGCTGATGCGGGAGATGCGCCGCTCTAACAAAACCCTCTCTGTCTTCTCTTCTCCGTCTCAGGTTTCACAAAGCTGGTTAGTCGGTGTGTCGCAGGTTCAGTCGCGGGTCTTGGATTGCTGTGAATGTGCCAGCAGAGAGAAGATTAAGAGTCTCCATTACATTAAAAGTGAAGTGTCGCATCTTATGCTGACTTTGATGGTGTTGTTCACGCGGTGATGATTGCGATGCATGATTGAGCGTGGTTTTTGTGTTGTATTGGCCGATACATGTAGATTATTGTTAATTATTACACGGCGGTCTGGGTTGGGCTAATGCTAATTAAAAAAAGAAAGAAGTCATTCCTAAATTTACTTTGACTTGTATTTCATTACAGACAATACAACAAACATTATTTAATGTGCTCCTCATGGTTTTTATTTTATTTTTAAAATTTTTTTTACAAATGTAAACTTATTCCAATTTTGGTTCTTTCAAAAAAGTTGAAACAGTAAAACATTTACCACTTTGTAATGTTGCCGTTCCTTTTCACAACACTTAAGACATTTAGGGACTGAAGACACCAAGATAGTTTGTCCCATTCCCTCTGCAAACAAGTCTCAAGGTTGACAACAGTATGAGGTCTTCGTTGTCGCATTTTGCGCTTCAAAATGCACCACACATTCTCTATTAGAGACAGGTCAGGACTGCAGACAGGCCAATCAAGTACCTGTATCGTCTTCCTCCGCAGCCTGGCCTTTGTAATGTGTGCAGAATGTGGTTTTGCATTGTTTTGTTGAAATATGCATGGGCGTCCCTGAAAAAGAAGACGGCATATTGTGCTTCAAAATCTCTATGTACTTTTCAGCATTAATGGTGCATCACAGAAGTGCAAGTTACCTTTGCCAAAGGCACTGACACGACCCCATGCCATAACAGACCCTGGCTTTTAGACTTGTTAACAGGCTGGATGATCCTTTTCTTTTTTGGTCCGGAGCACACAGTGTCCATTTCTTTCCAAAAATACCTGAAATACTGATCCATCAGAACACAGTACACATTTCCACTGTGTGATGGTTTTTCTCATATGCCTTAGAGCCCAGAGAAGTCGATGGCACTTTCTGGACACTGTTAACATAGGGCTTCCTTTTGGCACATTGCGTTTTTAACTGGCATTTGTGGATGTAACTGTGTATTGTGGTACTTGACAAAGCTTTACCAAAGCAGTCCTGAGTCCATTTGGTGGTATATGGCTTATTGATGAATGAGGATTTTTGATGCAGCGTTACCTGAGGCATCGGAGATCACGTTTGTTCAGCTTAGCCTTGCGCCCTTGTCCTTTATGCACTGAAATTCCTCCAGGTTCCTCTAATCTTTTAACGATGTTCTGCTCTGTTGAAGGCGAAGGTCCTTTTTTCTTTGAGGCACATCGTTTTTAAACATTTCAATATTTTTCTCATGTATTTGTTGGCAAACTGGCGATCCTCAGCCCATCTTTGCTCCTAAAGGACTAGACCTTTCTTGAATGCCACATTTGAACCAAATCAAAATTACAATCACCCGTTGACATCACCCGTTTCAAATCACATCATTATTAAACCAATTTACCTGTATCCGAGTTTCATTTTTCTCTTTTGAGTCGCAGGTTTAGCTGACGCTTCTGGACACTGTTAACATAGGGCTTCCTTTTGGCACATTGCATTTTTATCTGGCATTTGTGGATGTAACTATGCTTTTAGGTACTTGAAATAGCTTTACCAAAGTTGTCCTGAGTCCATTTGGTGATATATGGCTTATTGATGAATGAGCTCTAATCTTTTAACGATGTTCTGCTCTGTTGAAGGCGAAAGTCCTTTTTTCTTTGAGGCACATTGTTTTTAAACATTTCAATAATTTTCTCATGTATTTGTTGGCAAACTGGCGATCCTCAGCCCATCTTTGCTCCTAAAGGACTAGACCTTTCTTGGATGCCACGTTTGTACCAAATCATAATTACAATCACCTGTTGACATCACCTGTTTCAAATCACATTATTTAACCAATTTACCTGATTACTAGCCCTAAACTACGCCAGTCCCAATATTTTTGGAATGCGTTGCAGATCTGAATGACAGGAAAGCATGTGTATTTACAAATGAAATGAAGTCAAAGTACATTTTGAAATCACTACTTTTTTTTATTTCCATAATCTCCCAATGTTTTCTAATTTGGGGTTGTGTATATACATATACTTTTTTAACAGTTTACATTAAATATTTATACATGATAATCCATAATTGATAATAATTAATAATTCATGCCTAATAAATGGCAT